TTATGCAAAGTGATAACAGTAAAGAGTTCATGGGACAAATTGTTATTCAAATATGTGAAACTCTAAATATTACTATCAAACATGGGCATTCCGTTACCTACAAACCTAAGGACAAGTAAAACGCCTCAACCAAACTATTGGCCGTAGTTTTACAAAATTGTTGTGGGATGACAACAACCAATTACAACAAAAAGACTGAATTAATGTTTTAGATACATTTGTTATATCATATAATTCATTAGTTTATAGAGCACATGGTCACACACTATATAAGATTATGTTTGGATAGAAAATATATAGTATTTATAAAATGCCTAGCATTTTTTAGTTAAAAGCAGTGGCAGAAGTAATGGCAGAAGCAGCAACAGAAGTAGTTGAAGCAATGGCAGAAGCAGCAACTGCAGAAACATTAGAAGCAGCAATAGCAGAAGCATCAGAAGCAGTAACAGCAGAAGCATCAAAAGCAGCAATAGTAGAAGTATTAGAAGTAGCAACGGCAGAAGCATCAGAAGCAGCAACAGCAGAAACATCAGAAGCAGCAATGTCAGAAGCAGCAACATCAGAAGCAACAAAAGCAGCAACAGCAGAAGCAGCAATAGCAGAAGCAACAGCAGAACCAACAGCAAAAGAAGTAGCAAAAGCTATTGAAGAATATGTTTTGTAAATATCAAAGATTTAATAATCAGTAAATGATGCATTAGGAAAATACTGTAAAAAAATATGTCAATATGAAAGTGTTTATTGAAAAAAGTCATGAAATAATACAATTAAGCCTTGTACTAAGGTTGTCATTGCACCGGATTATGATATGAACCCCTAAACCTGAAAACGAAAACTACAACCAACATTTTCACAAGAGGATATATTTAAACGATTGACCTCAAATAACCACACAGCAATCGTTAAAGTAAATAACAAGGATATACTACTTTCTATAGAAAGGGTAAAGTTATACAATAGAATTTTTTTTTTACAAATTTAAAATTGTGGTGGTATTTTAAGATACCCATGTATTTTGTAGTGTTGGAGTTCAATGAATATCATGCATCATGATCATGTTACTGATCGTAGAATATAATCAGATGTAAACAATAGAATTAAATAAATAGAGGTTCGATCTTGCAGATCGAACTCATGCTTCGATTTCTTGAGTAATAAACCTGTGCCTAGTAAGAACTTCCTAGTACCTTGTTAGAGAAGGTTGTAAGAGGATGTTTATTAAGAAGAGGACGGATAGAAATAAAAAATGTAGCAGTGAATAAAGCAGTGCAAGACTAGATGAACCTCTGAGCAGATTGAGTGTATAACTGTATACATTCATTAACCCCATGACAGAGAAGGATCTAGATAATGATCCCAGTACCTCTCACAGAACCAAGCTGTAAAGATAGTAACTTTTGTAAGTAAGGTTGTTAGTAAAGTCAGAATTAGTATTAAAAATAGAGATGTATTATTGTGATGACGAAGATAGTATCAATTAGTTGATGTGTGTATTGTGAATAAAACAAGAGGATGATGAGAACATAGAGGCATATACAATGTGTTATGATAGTCGAGTAATAATATTGAATGGTGAAGTTCTGGAAGATGAGAAGTGGTTCTGGTACATTTTTGGTTTGAAGCATCGTGACAAAATCAAATCTTTTTTACCCAAAATATATGATCAAGCAAAAGAATTGGCGTTGAAGATGGAATGAAATTGATAGGTAAAAAGGATAATGTAAAGAACATGGTAAGTACTATTGATAATAATGAATCAAGCAAATTGGAAAAGAACAAAGTTGAGGACTTAACAGTGACAAATGATACAACAATTAAAAATAGTCTTGATAATAGTGCCGAAAAAGATGAAGAAAAGATATTCATTCATTATCAAGAATTTGCTAAAATGGATAATGCCGATGGGATGAAAGTTATTGATTATTCTTGTTATAATAGAGTTGAAGTCGAAACAAACGAATATAAAATTAGTATCAATGTGGATATTGTGGAGATAATATGTATTGAACAAGTTGATAGTAGGATAAATGTAAAGGAGATGGATAAAGTTAGTGTAATGAATTATGAAGATACAAATCAAGTGAAAGGAATAAAGGTGAACATACCTGATTCAAATAATGGAATCAACGATCTTAAATGTTGTTACGAAATAGAAAGTGGTATAGAAAATGATGATGATGGTAAATCTGGCGAACGAAATAAATCTAAGTAGCATAGAAATGGTATGAGACCTACAAAAAATGATAAGAATGATGTCAATGATCAAGTGAAAGTGATATAAGAAAATGATATAAAGAATGCGAGTACGAATATATACATAATTAATAAAAAGAAAATAAAATTGAAGAGCAAAGAAATATGTATTACTGGAGGCAGTCATCAAAATAGAATTAGAGTTAAAATAGGCGAGTATGAAGCTTTCAAATATGACATGAAATGTGATGATGATGGTAAAAGTATAAAGGACGATGTTAGTAATGTTATTAATACAAGAGAGAATCATAGATAGAAAAATGAAGACTCACCTGATTTGACAATGGAGATCAAAATGTGATAGATCAAGGTGATGGAATATATTATTATAGAAAATGTTGTAATAATGGAGTAGGAGTTGATAAAGATGATGGAATGGCTTTTGAATAGTATATGAAATCAACAGAACTGGATGACAGTAATAGAAATAAAAATGATGAATGTATAACATTTGTTAATTATCAAAAATCTGCTGAATTAGACAATGATGAAGAATCATATATTGTCAGATGCTGTTATCAAAATGAAATAGGAGTTGAAATGAATGAATATATAGCATTCATTTATCTTCAAAAATCTGCTGAAGGTGATCATATAGCATTTGAATGGTATTTAAATTTGCTAATAATGCTTATTGATACAGTATGTGTATAGTTATAAACAAGATGTTATTAGTATAGGATTTGGTATTTACTAAAAATGAAGGCCTTGATGGGCAAGATGATGTTGAATGCTATTTTTAATATGCAATTAATGTCAAAAAGTATAAATATAAAGCATTCAAATAGTATTTGAAGTCAACAGAAAATAGAAATCTGGGTGGACAATATAACTATAGATCATATCACCAATATGATATAAATATTAA